ACAATGTTAGACCTAGTGCTAGGGTTGGGATTTAAATGTGAACTTGGGTTGATGATTTAATAATTTTTTTTTATATAAAAAAAAAAAATGTTAAAATTTTAATTAATAATAAAATATTTATATTTACATATATGTTGTATGTATAATATCATAGCATAATTATTTATTTTACACAAACATTTTTAAACAAACATTTTTAAACAAAGTGTATAAAGTATGTTATTTTATTATTATATATATTCAAGCATGAATGGTATATTGTGAATAATACTTTTACGTTTTTTTTTTTTTTTTTGTGAGGAGGGACATTACATTATAAATAGTTTGAATTGTTTGCTGTTTGAATTGTTTGCTGTTTGAATTGTTTGCTGTTTGAATTGTCTGCTGTTTGAATAATGTACTATTTGAATAATGTACTATTTGAATAATGTACTATTTGAATGGTAAAATGTTTAAATTTTATGAAATGGAATGTGATTAATATACATATATATTTTACCTTATAAGTGTAAAAAAAAAAAAAAAAAAGTAAATATAACATTTAAAACTATGTTATATGTCATTAAAAGATATTATTATTTTATGAAAAATAACAATTTTTAACATTACATATAACTGCTATATTTTTATAAGTTTACTATCTTATTATTGTCATTGTTATTTATTTTTTTTTTTTTTTTTAATGAGATATAATTGAATTTTGTTTATTAATATCACACGTAAATAATTTATATTTTTATTCTACATATAATAATAATAATAATAATAGTAGTAATAATTACAGTTTGTGAAGTTATTAAAAATTGGTAAAAAAAAAAAAAAATAAATAATAATAATAATAATAATAATAATAATAAAAGAAAAATTGTTGCGTCATATATACATATATATATTCATATGTATACATGTACAATATACTTCCCCTTATTTATTATGTGGATGATATTGTTGAAAAAAAAAAAATAAAAAAAAAAAAAAAAAAAAAAAATGGTGTACACTTAACGTGGATGTAATTTGATGATATCATTTTACTCAACCGTAATTCTTTCACACCGTACATCAGCGACTACTAACCCTGCTCTGTTCCCAGCCTGAGGCGATACGTAGTTCATTATTACTTCAACATGTCCTTTTTCCAACAAGACCTGTTCAGTAACTGCCATCTTGTGATAGACGGGAATAGTACTGATAATCGAATTATACCCACATTAAAGATATCCCATTTTTTACCGCCTATAGAGACCAATACCCTTAAGGGTACCGTCTTACAAACGTGTCCCAGTATTGCTACTGTTACAGCTAATTAAAGCCGGACAATAATATAATATAACTCTCAATATATGGATATGACAAAAAAAGATATAAGATATGAAAAAAATGCTTTTCCCTTGTAAAAAAAAAAAAAAATATATATATATATATATATATGTATATATAATTATCATTTCTTTTTTTTGATTTGTTTGTTTGTTTATTTATTTACTTTTTTATTAAAGTAAAAAAATGCTGAACTGTATACTATTTTTGCAAATGAAAAAAAATACATAGTTTTAAGCCTTTTAAATATAAATTTAATTGATGAACTGGAGACTTTTCCTTTTTGTAAACGCTATACAAAGAAGGTATACAAGCTCGTACTTATCCATACTCATTTTATGTATATAAGCACATATATATATATATATATATACCCTTTTAAAGTATTAAAATTAAAAAAAAAAAGTTCTTTATATGATAAAAATTAATAAACAAACATAAGCAATAATTTATACTAGAAATTATATTGAATAAAATGTATTAGTACGCGTACTAATAAAAATATATACTTAAAAATTTATGACTAATTTCTTGTTTTTTTATAACAAATTTTGTTAAAAATTTATAATACAACACATATGAAACCCGTTTTGGGTAACTTGGATAGCAACAATAAAAAAAGATACATATGTATATACATATTCATATAAGTAAGTATGTATATAAGTATGTAAGTATGCATATAAGTAAGTAAGTATGTAAGTAAGTAAGTATGTAAGTAAGTAAGTATGTAAGTAAGTATGTATGTAAGTATATGTATGTATATGCAAACACACTCATATAACATATACTTTAATGAAATTACGCACTCGCACATTTTACTGAATAAGCAAATTAAGTTATAAAAAACATTTTTTTTTTATAAAGGTGATACAAACTGTAACCTCATATAAATTTCATAAAAACTATCTTTGTATTTCCAATTAAATATAACCTCCCGATTATAAGAACATCATGACCTTGTTTTCTAAATCGGAAATATCTTCTAAAAAAAAAAAAAAAATGTATGTATGTATGTATGTATGTATGTATGTATGTAAGACACACAAAGAAGAACACCAAAAGTAGCATAAACTGTGCACATTGAACAAGTATTCAAAAAAACGGAACACGTATGTATGCAAATCTTGTTTTACCATTTCCATTTTCTGTTTCTTCTTCAACTGCTTTTAGTTTTTCCTTATTTTTGCTTGACTTTATTTTTTTATTAATTTTACCCAAATGTATTTCTTCTCTATCATCTTTCCCGCCTCCATCTTCTTTTCCACCTTCACTTTCTTTTACTAGTCCTTGTGAATCACCATCAGTAGAATAATCAACAAATTCTGTGTCTCGTTTGAGAACACTTTCTTCATTGTCAATATTACCACTATAGCTACTGTCATCCGCATTTTCATCTGCACTTTCATCAGTATTACTATCTTTACTCTTCATCTTTTTGTTTTTTCTTTTTTTTTTCATTTTATCTTCTTTTATTTTCTCATTAGCTTTTTCTATTTCTCGTTTTAGTGACTCAATATATGTTTTGTTACCATTTTTACCATTTTTATCATTTTTATAATTGGTTTTATCTTTTTTTTCTGTTTTTTCAATTATGTCATTTACTAATACTTTTAATTTGTCTTGTTCATTTACTATTTCATTACCATTCTCATCAAATAAAATACTATTACTAAATATTTTAGCTGCTTTAATACGTTTTAATTTTTTATTAGTTGGTAATAATATAGGTCCTCTATCCTCGATTTTAGTCTTTTTTATGGTAAACAAATCTTCATCATTATCTCTAAAATCATATTCATAATTTTTACCATTTTTACTCCCACTATCTATGTCTATATTATTAAAGCTATTATCGATGCCTCTATTTTTTTTTGTGTTGTCATTACCATACAAACTTAATTTGTTTTTACCTTTTACTTGAATATCCATTATGTTATCCTCATGTGCACTACTATCTCTCTCTGAGTCATCCTCTTTTAAAACTACATTTTCATCATTTATTTTTTTTTCATTGGTGTTCACTTTTTGATCTATTTCATTTGGCGTTTGTTTTTGCAGTAACTTCTTTGCTTTTTTTTTTTTTAATTCTTCAAAATACTGTGAAAATCTTGACCTCTTTTTTTTTACTTCCAATTTTTTTTCATTTATTATTTTTAACTCTTTTTTCATAGAATCCGAGAACTCAATAAGACCATACGCATAAGCCAACTGGTTCAAATCTAATTTATTTATATCTCTATATTTCATAACAATATATATATGTCTTAAATACAAAACTAAAGCCTTTTGTGCTAAATGTTTGATATCTACATAAGCTGCGTTTATAGAATGTATTTTATTATTAATGTCAAATAATTTATTTTTTTTTATATGTTTTTCACTTATTTCTATATTATTCTGTTTTAGTGTATTTAAAAAAATAAGTTTATTGTCTATTTCTTTTGTTATAAAAATAAGACTATTACCTACATTGGTAAATCTACCCGTCCTACCTGATCTATGTATAAATGTTTCTACATTTTCAGGAAAATCAAAATGTATTACCCAATCTACTCCAGTAAAATCTAAACCCCTACAAGCAACATTCGTTGTAAATAAACAAACAAAATTATTTTTTTGTGAAAAAAAATGATACGTATTTAGTCTAGTTGTCTGTTTTAATTTACCATGTAATGGTAAAAATTTCATTACACCTACTTTTATTTTCTTAAATGTTTCATACATAAAACGAACTTGTTTACAAGTAGAAAAAAAAACTATAATTTTTTTATTTAATTTTGAAAATAAAAAAGTATATAAATAGTTTATTTTATCATAAATACTACATTCTATAAAAATCTGTTTCACATTATTACTTTCAATATATTTATCATTGTCATTAATGCTAACATATTCATAATCTGTAACTTTAAATATTTGTAAAATTAAATTTAAATATTTACAAATAGTAGCTGAAAATAAACATATCTGATATCTTTCTTTAGGTATATAAGATAAAATTGTTTTTAAATTTTCATAAAAACTATTATCAATTAATTTATCTATTTCATCTATTACTAAAGTAGTTATATAATCTAAATTACAATAATAATTATTTTCTAAATGATATATTAATCTACCAGTAGTACATACAACAATATTTGCGTAACTAAAAACAACTTTCTCTCTTTCTTCATCTTTACCTCCTATAACACAACAAATATTTAATTTATGATACCTGTTTAACATATTTAAAACTTCAAATATTTGAAACACTAACTCTCTTGTTGGTGTTATTATTAACCCACTTAATATTTTATTATTACAATCTATACGTTCTCGATACAATTTTTCGACTAAAGGGATACAAAAACATAATGTTTTACCTGTACCAGTTTGTGCTTGAGCATAAATATGTTTATTTAATAAAATAATGGGAATTGATACAGCTTGTATATTCGTCATATATTTATAATTCTTTTCAGCTAATATCCTTAACGTTCTTTCACTTATTGGTAACGTATTAAATTCTAATGTAGTTAAAACGTTTTTATCAATAATAGTTAAATTTGTTTTGTTTTTATGTTGTTCTGCTGGATTTGGTTTTTGTTTTGTGTTTGTTTTTTGTTCTGTGTTTGGTTTTTGTTCTGTGTTTGGTTTTTGTTCTGTGTTTGGTTTTTGTTCTGTGTTTGTTTTTTGTTCTGTGTTTGGTTTTTGTTCTGTGTTTGGTTTTTGTTCTGTGTTTGGTTTTTGGTCTGTGTTTGGTTTTTGTTCTTTTGGATTTAAATTTTTTTGTTTCATTTTGTTTTTTTCTATACTCACAATTTCATTCTCTTGTTCTAACTGTGCAAAAATTTTTTCCTGTTCTTTTTTATTTTTTTCCAACTCTTCCTTATACTGTTTTTTTTTATTTTCTTCGACAATCAATTTTAATTTATTGTCAATTTCTTTTTGTAATTCCAACCTTTCATCATAATTAACATCATTTCTATATTTTTTATATTTTGTATAAATATTTTCTACTTTTTTTTTATATTTATTACTTTCTATCTTTTGTTCATGATTATTATTATAATATTTCTTTTTACCTCCTCCTTTACCTTTTTTAATAAATCCTTTATTATTCTTTAACATGTTGTATAACCCTTTTTTCTCTAGTTTTTATTAAGCAGTTTTTTTATGAAACGTTTTTGTTTCCAATTTTTTTTTTTGTATTTATGATTTATTTGATGAAGCATAATTTTTTGTAAAAAAATTATTTTATAGAATGCACTTCATAAAGCAGTTTTTTCTTTCACTGATATAGAAAAGTTATTATATCCTGTCAGTTTTATATTTTAAATTCAGCTAACGTAAAATCTTGTTAAAATCATTGAAGTGTTTAATAAAAAATATGCAGCACTATATATATATATATATATACATATTGTGAAACAAAATGTACATATTATGTCACAAGTATGTATATATTACGTGTTAATTTTTTTTTTTTTTTTTTTTTTTGCAACAGTGGAAGTTATATTTTAAAAAAAAAAAAAAAAACTGAATTTGAAAAAATAAGATAATAACAAATTTTTTTTTTTTTTTTTTTTTTTTTTTTTTTTTTTAAATAGCACTTTTTTAAAAGTGTTAAAAACAGCAACATGATTTATTTTATTTTTTTCATGATTTTTATTAACTTTGTTATAGTATTATGCGTTTACTTTATTGAAGCTTGTTCTTATTCATATATGGATACGTCATATTAAAAAAAAAAAAAGAAAAAAAAAAAAAAAATAGCTATAAAAAAATTAACAAATAATAATAATAAAAAAATTAACAAATAGTAATAAAAAAATTAGCGGATAGCGACAAACAAATTAACAAATGGTAACAAACAAATTGACAAATGATAACAAATAAATTGACAAATGATAACAAATAAATTGACAAATGATAACAAATAAATTGACAAATGATAACAAACAAATTGACAAATGATAACAAATA